GAAAAAAGCAAAAAAAAAAAAAAAAAAAAAAAAATAGTGTTGGGTAAACTGGATGTCCACATGCAAAAGAATAAAGTTGGAGCCTTATCTTACACCATATACAAAAATTAACTGCAAGATGAAAAAGATCTAACTGTAAGGCCTGAAACTACAAAACTCCTAGAGGAAAAAAACATAGGGAGAAAGCCTCATGACACTGGATTTGACAATTACTTCTTGGATATGACACCAAAAGCATAGGCAATAAAGCAAAAATAGATAAGTGGACTACATTCAACTTAAAACCTTTGGTACAGTAAAGGAAACCAGCAACAAAGTGAAAAGGAGTATCATCCACCCTAAAGAAAGATGGAAACCCTACTATATGCTACAATATGCATGAGACTTGAGGATATTATGCTAAGTGAAATAAGCCAGTCACAGAAAGACAAATACTGAAAGATTCCAATTTTATGATGAATCTCAAGTAGTCAAATACTCAGAAACAGAAAGTAGAACGATGGTTGCCAGGGTCTGGGGAGAAGGGAAAAAAGAGAGTTGTTAAATGGACATAGAGTTTCGATTCCTCAAGATAAAAAGTTCTAGATACCTGTTGCAAAACAATGTGCTGTAGTTAACACTACTGTACTGTACGCTTAAAAATGTTTAAGATGTATATTTTAGATGTATTTGTGTGTACATATAGGTGCATATAAGTCACATTTGCATACATTTTTCTAAAAATATGGTTATTACAGATTAAATATACAAATTTATTTATAAGCTATAGTACTTTTCAATAAATATTTTATACTATGTAAACAAAAAAAAAAAAGGAAAGAAAGAAAATGGCTTACTTGTTCTCAGATGTGCTATTCTCAGAGGCCTTAACAAATGGTGCCCCTATCACATAACCACTACTGTACTGTACACTTAAAAATGTTTAAGATGTATATTTTAGATGTATTTGTGTGCACATATAGGTGTGTACAAGTCACATTCGCATATATTTTCTAAAAATATGGTTATTACATATTAAATATACATATTTATTTATTAGGTATAGTACCCATTCAATAAATATTTTAAACAATGTAAAAAAAAAAAAAAGGAAAGAAAGAAAATGGCTTACTTGTTCTCAGATGTGCTATTCTCAGAGGCCTTAACAAATGGTGCCCCTATCACATAACCCAGAGCATATCCAACCACTCCTGAAGCTTCTGCAAGACCTACAAATGAATATTGAATATCAAGCAACTTCTTAAGCCAGCTTTGTCATAAGATGATAAACATTAATTGACTGAAATGAATTACCTCTGAAAGCTTTTTCTAGCATTTTGTATTAGAGTTCTCCAGAGAAAGAGAACCAATATTATATATGTATAATACCAATATTATATATACACACACACTGATGGATTTTGAGAAACTGTTTCAAACAATTGTAGGACCTAACAAGTTCTAAATTTGTAGGGCAGGCCAACAGGTTGGAAATTCAAGTAAGAGCTGATGTTGCAGTATTGAGCAGAATTGCTTCTTCTTTGGGAAAACTCAGTCTTGGCTCTTAGGAACTTCAACTGATCGGATGAGGCCTGGCTACATTATGGAGGTGATCTGCTTTACTCAGCGTCTACTGATTGTAATTGTTAATCACATAAAAAAAAATAGCATCACTAAAACATCTAGACTAGTGTTTGGCCAAACAACTGGGTGCCATAAATTAGTCAAGCTGTCACGTAAAATTAACCATCATGCATATTGACCAATGCATGTATTGGAGAAACTCAGATAATTTAATTATATAATTCATTATACCTTATTTAATCAATATATTTATGTAATATAAATAAATGTTTATCCTCAATATAAATATAAACTTAATATACTTTATTTCACTTTAATTTGTGGGACTATAGTAAGATGATATTTTAACATTATGATAACTTTTCCAGGGTGGCAACATATGGCAATACAGTAAGCTTCTCTCTGCAGTGTATAGATGTGTTTTAATTTTTATTAAGTGGAACCAAAAGTAAAACCAGCAGATTTTCTGCCACCTTTGACCAGTGCTAATAAATTACTGCAATTTCTTTTCTAAAAGCAAACATAAATATGAATATTATCTACTTTAGTTTATTGGCATGACTTTTCTTCTGCTGGAAAATAATTATTTTTGTGCAAAATTCTATTTTCTTTTAATTAACTTTCACAATAAGTATGTAGAAACAACTTTTTTTTTCCAAAAATGGTAATTAGATAATCTTGAACAAATCGAGGCTCTATCAGGACCAGAATCTACTGCAATATAAGAAAGTACACATTATTCTGAGGTATATCCAGGATTACTTACTGTAGGATATAGTACCGGAAGACATTGTAAATAGGGGATACTACACTGTGTTTATTTAAATAACATATCATTTCTCTCCTTCATAGGATGAACAACATTATGTTTTCAATTAACTTCAAAATATCAGAGGCTGAAAAAAGAATGAGTTAATATATATAAAGAGCTTAGTATAATGATAATTGTTTCAGCACCATACTGACTGTAGTACTGAAGAGGTATAAAACAATGTCCTATTTCCCTTATGGACATGATGGCAGCAGCTTCCCACCTGCATCCCCAAAGTTTAAACAAGCAATTACTCAAGCAATTCAATGCAGTAATTTTACATTTTTTTGCTAGAGAAATGAACATCAGCCTACATAGTTTAATATGACTATATATACGTATAGTTTTTATTACTTAAGAAAGAATGTATTTTCTCTATTGCTCTATATACTTTTAGTGACCTTCAGATGACTTGTCTAATCTCAAGCACCTCCTCAGAATTCGGTGGCTCAATATGATTTTAAAGTTAAGCATACCAGTTACCATTTATTACCATATTATCATAAGGGTTAATAATTAGCACTTCTATATCAGTTTAAATATGCACACCAAAATGTAAAAGCTTAATGAAAATTCAAAATGGGTCAATTGTGTTAGAGGAGGGAAAAAACTTGCCTAAATAGGTACCAGCTGAGTGTGTGGCGACGCTGTCATCAATATAGGTTAATCCAAGGATATAAATAGGCATTCCTGCTATTCCCTGCACAGTCTGCCCAAGGATAAAGAAAGATACATATTTTGATTGGAATGATAATGTTCTTTTCTGGCAAGTTTTGATAGCCATTGATTCTTGGCAAATACCTTTTGAAAAGAGGATAATTACATTTTTGTAAATAGAATTCAGAAGTTAAACATACAACAAATATGCAGTATTCTTTATCAGATATTTTACTTTTTATAAGCTCTTTCCATCATTATGCTTTTTTTCTTTTAGTTAATATTTTATTTACAATAAATGTAGTAGCAATAATCATGTTCTCAGAAAAATGCAGTGATAAAAGAAAATTATGTGAATACTGGAAAGATGCATGTATAAACCAAAATATAAATGTGTATGCACAATTGTATACACACACTTAAGTGTGCATAGATATGTCTGTATACATATGCATTTACATACTCACATATACATATATAATTCTTCTTAAATTTGGCAGCTGGTTGACCTGACTTTGGACCCCAGGACAAAATTATTTCTAATGTTCTGGATTACCTGAGTTATCAAAGATTACCTTCTGAGTTTAGTTCTATGTCGATTTCTTTATATTAACTTTACATCACTCTAAATAATTTCTCATTTTAGACTAACTTCTAGAATACAGATTCATAAGCACAAGGCATTACACAATACAAATTTCTTTCTATTAGAGTTAGTTATTATATGGTCATCCACTAGATTTTAAACTCCTTTAGGTCACAGTATATGGGTATTTCTTATGCTTTTTTTATTCACATTGTTATAGAGCAGTACTAAATAAATGTGTAATTACATTTATTATTAGATTGGTAGGTACAGGCAATACTATTAGATCATATTGATTGTGACCATTTTGGTTGAAATTTAACAAATGCCCTTAAAATATTAGGGTGGAAAGCTTATTAAAGTGCTGATTGCGAAATAGTACACAAATGGAAATTTTCAACTGGCTTAGTATCCATATGGGATGATATGTTAGTCCATATCAAATGAGAGGAAGTCTCTAGAATTGTGATTCAAATGCTGATGGTTCAATTTTATATAGGCATACATATTAACTTGTGGTGAGATCAGATTCAGTGTCATATTTCCAACAACCTGCCCTCTTAGTTCCTTGAACTCCCCTCCTCTCACACATTGTACTCTACCCACCTCAGCTACTCATTTTAAATGTCAAAAATAATAACTACAAACCTTCCCTAATTGCAATTTCAAGCATCTGCTCTAAGCACCACTGTCTTTCCAGCTCACTCCTTCTAGTAACCCAATTCCAACAATCATTAAAACTCACCAGGACCTATAATCCATTTACTCTGTTCCTTTTCACTATCCTAATGTTCCCTTCATGTCCTTACTACTCTCATTATCATAAGAACACTTTTAATTTTCTTGCTCTCTTTCAGGTCATTCCCCTGGTAAAACTGCAGCCCTAGTCAAATTAACTCTTTCCCCCACTCTATACCTACATGCTTTTAAAGCTGAATGTGGCTGGAGAAAAATACACAACCGTGCAAATCCTACTTTGAATTCAAGGTTAATATATTCAAGGAACTCCTGCATGCTCCTGACAATCAAAAAATAGATCCCTAGTCTATTTACTCTTCCATTTTCCAAGAAAATTCAACTTGTGGGTGGGACAAGAAAGGACAGTGGGACAACATAGCTTAGGATAATGATTAGAGTGTGTTTGAAAAATGCTAAATTTCATATTAAGGAACATAAAATCAGCTATAAATGAAGAGAAATAACAACAAGGAAAATCTGATAAAGGGAGAAAGTAGGTATTACTGTACTGGAGGTTCCATTGAAAAGAAGGAACTTTTCTGTCTTTGTTATATGAGTAACTTTAAAGAATTGGTGGGTATAGTCAGAGAGCTGGGTAATAGACATTTAGGAAGTTCTCAGTAAAGGGAAAGTGTACTGAAACCATGGGTGTGTGTGGTGGTCACTTAAATGTAGATCTCCAGGAACTAAAGATCAGAATGTAATGCAGGTGTTCTCATGAACTTGTGGAGAAAACTCAATTTTAACATCTCAAAGATGTGAGTATGTTATCTATATGTTATCTGAGTCACAGGGGCTAGAGATTAACAGGTCATCAGTGCAGATAACTGGGATGGGGTTTGGGGAGCAGGGATAGTAGGAAGTAGTTGTAAATGGACTGTACCAGACAGGTTCAGACCACTCATAAGAGAAGATGAGTATAACTGATAACTAGAGATTATAGAAAGAGGACAGAGTCAGAGAGATGTGTAGAAAAGATGGGCCGGCCCCGTGGCGCACTCGGGTTGCGATCCCCTTACCGGTCACGAAAAAGACAAAAAAAAAAAAAAAAGAAAAGAAAAGAAAAAGAGAAGGATAGGAGAAAAAAGGATAAAATAAGAGAATATAGAAACTTTGTGTGTGTATGTTTGTGTATGTGTGTGTGTATAAACTGAGATATGAACATAGAGTAGAAAAGTCATTATGTAAGAACTAAACTTTCAAACACAATAAGTTGAATATCTGCATAGATAGATGTATGAAATGAGCACTTCTACCACAAAGACTGTTTACTTTATTTCTACTTCCCTAATACTAAGTGCAGAGTCACCCTGTAAATGCCCTACAATTCATCTAACAAAACCTATTTAGATCCAGCAATCCCACTTCAAAAGAATGGAAATCATCATGTTGAAGAGATGCCTAAACTCCCATGTTCATCACAGATCTATTTACAATAGCCAAGACATGAAACCAACTTAAATGTCCATCAACAGACTCCTGGATAAGGAAAATGTGGTATATATACACAGTGGAATACTACTCTACCATAAAAAAGAACGAAATTCTGCCATTTGCAGCAATATGGATGAGATTGGAGAAGAAAATTATGTTAAGTAAAATAAGCCAGACACAGAGAGAAAAATACCACATGATACTGCATGTCCTCACTGATAAGTGGAAACAAAGAAAGAAAGAAAGAAAAAAAGAGAGACAGAAAGAGAGAGAGATAAAGAGAGAAAGAAAGAAAGAAAAAAACAACAAAAGTATGTTGAACTTCCAGGAGAGAACCAGTCTATGCTTACTAGAGGTAGGTGGGGGAGAGGGAGAGGGGATTGGGAGAGATGGGTATGGGGCATGAAGAATAATTACTATTCGTAATAATGAATATGCTAATAATATTGATTTGATCATCACATGTCATACACAGCTGATGGTAGTCAATGCTGTACTCCAAAAATATGTATAATTAATTATGTTTCAACAAATAAATAAATAAAAGTTTGAAAACCACCCTCTTTAAGTATACTAGTATCCAAAGAAGGATCAATAAATCAATAGCTTTCTAAGAAATGCACACACACGAAAAATACAGTTCTGTGAAACTTCAAATAACATTTATCTAGTAAGAATAGTGAAAAGATTGTGGAATAAATTGAAAATAAAAAACAAATTGAAGAAGTCACCAATCTTTTTAGATTCAAGTACTGTGTCAAAGAGCAGCTCTCATTTTCGAATGGTAGGAGTAGCTAGAAAAGGAATCTGACCCTTTTTTGTGTGTCTTCCACAATGTGTTTTAATTAATCCCTTTATTCTCACCTTGTTTAGTGATTTTGGTCACATAAATTGATATGAATGGATGAATATGCAGACAGACAGGAATCACAGTCTACTTAAGTTCCTTGAGCCAATAGTTTAAGTAAATACTGATTAGATGCATGACAGTATATTTTAAAATCTTACCTTCAATTTCTACCTTCATTTCATAACTTCTATTATTAAAGAATGGAAAGGCGAAGAAAAGTGACCCAACTCCAATTAAAAAGGAGGAAACTGCCATCCATGTTGTTCTTTTTGCTCTCCCTCCATAGTATGCTACAAATATTGCTATCAGGAAAGATGAAATATCATAACTAGATTGCAGTACTGACTCCTCAATGATTTTCAGATAATAATCCTTCTGAAAATTGGCAATGCTCACATCTACAAGACCAAATATCATACCTGAAATGTAAAAAGAAAAAAGAAAGCAAGAATCTGCATTTTAAGAGACAAAATAGATCACAATTAAAATTATTACAAAAAAAAAACAATTTACATTGATATAAGTTTATTTTACATTGTTCTGATGTTTAAACACTGTAAGCATGTAAAGATTCCCTTTCTAACATAAGCCAGGCACAGACAGAGATACACCATATGTCCTCACTCATAAGTGGGAGCTAAGAAAGTATGAAAGAGAGACAGAGAGAGACAGAGAAAGAGAGGAAGGAAGGAAAGGAAGGACGGGAAGGAAGGAAGGAAGGAAGGAAGGAAGGAAGGAAGGAAGGAAGGAAGGAAGGAAGGAAGGAAGGAAGGCCACAATAAAACACAACTTTCAGAAGGAGAGAGAAGTCCTATAGTCACCAGAGTAATTGGATAAGGGATTCAAAGAGTAATTATGATATGTAATGATGAACATGCTAATACTATTGATTTGATTATCACATACTATATACAGATACTGATAGTCAATTCTGTACCCCATAAATATTTATAATTGAAAGTAAATAAATAATTTTTTTAGGAATGAATAAATAAAAATAAAACACAAATATGCTTTAACCTCTAGGAAATATTTGCTAATTAAATTTTTGAAGCTATTTGTTAACTACCTCTATGAGTAATTTACTGAAGAATGCTGACTATTGTATCTCACTTAGTACTGATCCTTATTTAAATGTATTATATTTCAACTATAAAAATTAATAAGTAATCTAATAATTGTTTATTTACCATCTAGAATAGGAAATAAAACATTATCGAAATATTTGAAGCCCAGCATGTACTTCCCAAACACATTCTTCTCCCTCCCCTCCATAATCAGTATCCTGTATTTGACGTTTACCAGTTTTGAGCCTTTTAGATAATGCATAAATTCTTAAACAATATAGAGTATTGTTTTTCATGTCCTTGAGCATTAAATAAATGCTATAATACTATGTGCATTTCTATCTGTAGGCATCCAACTAGAAAAAAAAATCATGCTAAGTGTTTGAAACAAAAATAAACTGATAGAGGGATTGGTTACAAAAGCAGTACATTTATTAGAGCAAAAAGGGAAAATGGTTATTAATCAAAACTCATGATATCTATATAACCAAAGTTTCTGAAGCATGGGCTGCTGCTACTACTGTTAGAACTGCAATCGCTACCTCTTTTTGCAGGAAGCTAGGTGCTCATACTCTTTCTGATGGCTATGAGAGGCAGCTAACAGTCGCCTGCTGATTCTGCTGCTCCTACCGTTGGCCAGAGCCAGAGCCCAGGAGCACTGTAATGCTGAATCATCCACTGTTGCTGCTGCTGATGGAACCACATTTATTCCTGAGCATAAATACCAGCATTGCTCCTGCTGCTAAAAACCCTACTAGAAACAGGAAAAAATAGAGGCTTCCCTTCGCCTCTTTTCAAATCTACCGTCAGCCTGTCCCTGGCAACACCTAAGTGGAAGCCAGCTGGCAAGGAACACTGGGAAGTGTAGTTTACAGGCTGCCAGTCCCCTTGCAAATAGGCGAGTCCAAAAGGGAAGCAATGGAGCTAATGGCCAACAGACACATAACTTGAAAAGTTCACCCTTTATACTACTCAGGATACATTTTCATCCTTATTCCCATATTTGAACTTCCATATCAAACAAATAGCAACACCATCATACTTCTGCCTAATATATTGCAATTATCATTCTTACAAGGATGCCCTTACTCTTTCCCAAAAAAGAGAGACACATAGTCCAATCGGTTGCCAAATTCATCTCAGGGTGATGTTAATCCTTCTAGTTTAGTCACAAACTTGAATAGATTTTCTTTAACCTAAAGACTAAATTGCAAAGGTAACTGCCAATAATTAAGCAAACATATAGCAGTCCTAAATAAACTTGAGAGAATTGTATTGCTGAAGAAACCACAAGCTAGACTAGCAGCCACAACTAGTTTAACAGACTAACACCATCAAGAAACAAGATATAAAAACTTTGCTGCACCCAAGAGAGGAATTTTTTTCAACTCTCACTTGAGATGTGGCCAAGGAGGATAATGGCCAAGAGAGGAATTAAGTCCTACCAGTAACTTAGTCCATCTCTAGGATGGAGGTATTAATTTCCCTTCTAACTGAGGCATATTCTGTAACCTAGAGACAAATTTACAAGGTTATCTACCTTACCTATAGTACAAATAGAAAAATAAAATAGGAAGGGAAAGAGAAAGAGAAAAAATAATTGGAATACATACATACACATATATATATAAACATACACACACAAATATATGTATGTTTATGTGTGTGCACATAAAACAAACAAGAGAAAGTATACAGCTGCTACAATTTGTATTACTCTAAATGTTTATGAAACTACACTTAATATTTAAAACTTCCTTCTTCTAGTACTCACCCTCTTTTCTACTCCTTGATGCCAGATAACAATACACAGGTTGCTACCTCAAAGCATATCCCCCATTCTCCCCAAAACTTGTTTATCATTGTGTACTAGCTAGAGTCTTATCTGAGTCTTCAACAGGACATCATAATTATCTGCAAGGCTGAGTTTCTGATTATTGAGATATGTAGTAAGATCAGTGAATTCCATGAGCATGAACCTCCTGTTGTACTTTTTCTATAAATTGAGTTTCTTGGTTAGAAGCAATGTGCTGGTAAATATGATCAGGTAAATGATGCATAAGGCATTCATTAAGACCAATTATGAGAGTGGCGCCACATCTTGGTGACAGAAGAAGAACCCATACCCAGTATAAATAACTATTTCAGTGAGGAGAAATTACTGTCCATGCCATAACAGAAGCAGAACTATGTTATCAGCCTTCCACCAGGTAACAGTTGAATTCACTAAGGAATGAAGCCATTTCTTAGATTATGTTGACTTTTCCTGGTAGCAAGGCAGGCCCTCGACAGTGCAATAGCCAGATCAGCTCTGGTGAAGGTAAGGCTGTGCATTCAGCTCTTGTATAAACACCATCCTTGATGTGTTTATCACTATAAACAAGAGCCCATTGAACAAGAGAAAGAATGGCTTAGGGAAAGAGGCTAATATCCACAGGGTGTTTATCTATCTACTTCATTATCGATCATTTCCTATGCAATGGATTTCTTTTGGTGAACATAGAATAACTCTGCCCATTTGGAGAGACACACCATTTGCCCAGTCTTCCTAATCACCAAATGGCAAACCATTAGGCAATGGTCAGCATGGTATCCAGGCAATATGGACAATCAGATATATTGCTCAAAGCTCTGTCCACTGGGAGGATTCTTTTTTTTTTTTTTTTTTCTGTTTTTCATGGCTTCCCCTGACTGGGGCTATAATGTCAACACACTTCCACCTTTGAAAAACTACAGAGGCCCACCAGAAGCAATGTCTCTTTCTTAACAGTGAGTGGTGCAAATGAAGAAACTTTCCCTCCATTGTAAGAGATAGCCTTACATACTTCAAAGCAATTAGTCCCTAGAAGCATTACTAAAGTAGCAAACAAATTTTTGGTATGTAAGATATTTCCTCCCCAGGACAGACTTTATATTAGTCATTCCAGGAAGTCTAGATCTGATTCTAACTATGAGCATGGCAGCAATAAGGCGTAGTGGGATGGGTCATGAGGGGAATCAGCATTCCCTTTACTCAAGCAAAGTCAATTTAGTGTCATTAAGCAAGGAATTGTCTTCTCTTCAGATACAGGTGGAATAGTTGCTCCTACTGGCAAAGAAGGTTCAGGATCTGGGGGTTCGTGTTTCTCGGACTAACCAAATTCCACCCAAATGCCTTTATCACAATTTTCAGGGTTTTACTTCACTCAATGTCCCTAATCTCACATAAGTGGTGAGCCTGTAAGTTCAACTTATGTTACAGTTCTGCAACCTGTGAATAAGGATTGGTATTGCTCAAAATAAACCATATGTGGCTAAAAAAGATGAGATTCTTACAGAACCATCAGAGAAGCTCACATGTTTCCTAACCATGCTGCAAACTTCTCATTTTCTTTCTGTAAACCCTCCAGTGCAGTCAGGCAAACCCAGAATCTTTGCAGTCAGAAGTCCCATCATGGTCAGGCAAACCCAGAATCTGCAGTCAGAAGTCCCATCATAGGAGTCAATTGCAGTAGCTATTTGGTCTCCCAAAGCCTTGTCCTCAATAAGAACTCTGTCCTAAGCAATATTTTAAATAACTCTTTTCTCACTACATGCCAAAGACTTCTAGTGAACCACAAACACAAATATCACTGTTTTCATTGCTTTCAAGACAAATCAAGTCAGATAACCAATTCCAGATTCCCATCTTTGAGTGTTTGTTTTGTTTTGTTCTTCCTGGTTGAATTAGTCCATTTTTGTTGCTTATAACAAAATACATGGAACTGGGCGGTTTATAAAGAAAAAAGAAACTAATTGCTTACAGTTTCTGAGTCTGGGAAGTCCGAGGTCCATCTGGTGGTGGAAATAATGACCCCAAGTCTCACACTGCAACATGGCGGAAGCAGAGAGAGCAGAGAGAGAGCAAGACAGACTCTCCTCTCCTTTTAAAGCCCTCAGAACCATGCCCCTGACCATTTTTAATCCATTCACTACTGCACAATCCTACAATTGTATAACCTTTTCAAAGTCTCCACCTTTCACCATAATAGGATTTCCCACCCTCTTAACAGTTACAGTGGGGGCTAAGTTTTAATACATAAAACTTGGGGGACACAATTCAAGTTCCAGTGAGTTCTGGGGAGACATAATTCAATCCACTACATTGGTTCAATGCCTGGTATGGAGTACTGTATCAAAAATCATGACTTTTGTAACTTATAGACAAATTACTTTGATTACATTGGTGAAACTAAAAAAGTTTATTCAAAACCTTTTCAAACTTCTTTATATTATATATCAGAAATTTTTCAAAAAATAAAAGAATAATTATTCTTAATGTACACTTATACACTTTAACCAATCTTAGCCATACTTATCTCTAATAAAATGTT